CTGGCGGTGAGGAAAAGGTTACTAACGGTGAGGACAAGGTGCTTGGCGTTGAGGCCAAGGTTACTGGCGGTAAGGACAAGGTTCCTGGCGGAGAGGACAAGGTTCCTGGCGGTGAGGACAAGGTTCCTGACGGTGAGGAAAAGGTTACTAACAGTGAGGACAAGGTGCTTGGCGTTGAGGCCAAGGTTACTGGCGGTAAGGACAAGATTCCTGGCGGAGAGGACAAGGTCCCTGGCGGTGAGGACAAGGTTCCTGGCGGTGAGGAAAAGATTACTAACAGTGAGGACAAGGTGCTTGGCGTTGAGGCCAAGGTTACTGGAGGTAAGGGCAAGGTTCCTGGCGGTGAGGACAACGTTCCTGGCGGTGAGCACAAGGTCCATGGCGGTGAGGACCAGATTCATTCCGGTGAGGACAAGGTTCCTGCCGGTGAGGACAAGGTTCCTGGCGGTGAGGACAAGGTTCCTGGCGGTGAGGAAAAGTTACCCGTCGGTGAGCATATGGTTTCTGGCGGTGAGGACAAGGTTGTTACCGGTGAGGCCAAGGCTGCTGGCCGTGAGGCCAAGGTTCTTACCGGTGATGACAAGGTTCCTGGCGTTGACAGCAGGGTTTCTGGCGGTGAGAACAAGGTTCCTGGCAGTGAGGACAAGGTTCCTGGCGGTGAGGAAAAGGTTACTAACAGTGAGGACAAGGTGCTTGGCGTTGAGGCCAAGGTTACTGGTGGTAAGGACAAGGTTCCTGGCGGAGAGGACAAGGTTCCTGGCGGTGAGGACAAGGTTCCTGGCGGTGAGGAAAAGGTTACTAACAGTGAGGACAAGGTGCTTGGCGTTGAGGCCAAGGTTACTGGCGGTAAGGACAAGGTTCCTGGCGGTGAGGACAACGTTCCTGCCGGTGAGCACAAGGTCCATGGCGGTGAGGACCAGATTCATTCCGGTGAGGACAAGGTTCCTGCCGGTGAGACAAGGTTCCTGCCGGTGAGGACAAGGTTCCTGGCGGTGAGGAAAAGGTACCCGTCGGTGAGCATATGGTTTCTGGCGGTGAGGACAAGGCTGTTACCGGTGAGGACAAGGCTGCTGGCCGAGAGGCCAAGGTTCTTACCGGTGATGACAAGGTTCCTGGCGGTCACAGCAGGGTTTCTGGCGGTGAGAACAAGGTTCCTGGCAGTGAGGACAAGGTTCCTGGCGGTGAGAGCAAGGTTACTGCCGATGAGGACAAGGCTCTTGCCGGTGAGTCCAAGGTTCTTACCGGTGTGGATAAGGTTCCTGGCGGTGACAGCAGGGTTACTGGCGGTTAGAACAAGGTTCCTGCCGATAAGGGCAAGGTTCCTCGCAGTGAGAACAAGGTTCCTGGAGGTGGGGACAAGGTTCCTCGTGGTGAGAACAAGGTTCCTGGCGTTGAGAGCAAGGTTACTGGCGGTGAGGACAAGGCTCTTGCTGGTAAGGCCAAGGTTCTTGCCGTTGAGGACCAAGTTCCTGCTGGTGAGGACAAGGTTCCTGGCAGTGAGGCAAAGGTTTCTGGCGGTGAGGTCAAGGTTCCTAGCAGTGAGGACAAGGTTCCTGGCGTTGAGGACAAGGTTACTGGTGGTGAGGACAAGGTTCCTGGCGGTGAGGACAAGGTTATTTCACGTGACGACAAGGTTCCTGGCGGTGAGAACAATGTTACTGGTTGTGAGAACAAGGTTCCTCGGGGTGAGAACAAGGTTCCTGGCGGTCAGGACAAAGTTCCTCGCGGTGAGAACAAGGTTCCTGGCGGTCAGGACAAGGTTACTGGCGGTGAGAACCAAGTTCCTGCTGCTGAGGACTAGGTTCCTGTCAGTGAGGCCAATGTTCCTGGCGGTGAGGAAGGGGTACCTGACGTTGAGGACAAGGTACCTGGCGGAGAGGACAGGGTTTGTGGCGGTAAGGACAAAGTCCTTACCGGTGAGGAAAAGGTTACTGCCGGTGGGGACAAAGTTCCTGGCGGTGAGGACCAGGTTCGTTCCGGTGAGGAAAAGGTCACTGGCGGAGAGAACAAGGTACCTGGGGGTGAGGAAAAGGTTCCTGGCGGTGAGGACAAGGTTCCTAGCAGTGAGGACAATGTTCGTGGCGTTGAGAACAAGGTTACTGGCGGTGAGGACAAGGTTCCTGGCGGTGAGGACAAGGTTCCTGGAGGTGAGGAAAAGGTACCTGTCGGTGAGGATCTGGTTTCTGGCGGTGAGGACAAGGTTGTTACCGGTGAGGACAAGGCTGCTGGGGGTGAGGACAAGATTACTGGCGGTGAGGAGAAGGTTCATGGCGGTGAGGACCAGGTTCTTTGCGGTGAGGACAAGGTTCCTGCCGGTGAGGAAAAGGTTCCTGGTGGTGAGGACAAGGTCCCTGGCGGTGAGAACCAAGTTCCTGCTGCGGAGGACTAGGTTCTTGTCAGTGAGGCCAATGTTCCTGGCGGTGAGGACAAGGTTCTTGACGTTGAGGACAAGGTACCTGGCGCAGAGGACAGGGTTTGTGGCGGTAAGGACAAGGTTACTGGCGGTGAGGACAAAGTTCCTCGTGGTGAGGACAAGGTTCCTGGCGGTCAGGACAAGGTTCCTCGTGGTGAGGACAACGTTCCTGGCGGTCAGGACAAGGTTACTGGCGGTGATGACAAGGTACCTGCCGTTGAGGACAAGGTTACTGGCGGTGAAGACAAGGGTCCTGGCGGTGAGGACAAGGTTCCTGACGTTGAGGACAAGGTACCTGGCGGAGAAGACAGGATTTGTGGCGGTAAGGACAAGGTCCTTACCGGTGAGGACAAGGTTACTGGCGGTGGCGACAAAGTTCCTGGCGGTGAGGACCAGGTTCGTTCCGGTGAGGACAAGGTTACTGGCGGAGAGAACAAGGTACCTGGGGGTGAGGAAAAGGTTCCTGGCGGTGAGGACAAGGTTCCTAGCAGTGAGAACAAGGTTCCTGGCCTTGAGAACAAGGTTACTGGCGGTGAGAACAAGGTTCCTGGCGGTGAGTACAAGGCTCCTGGCGGTGAGGAAAAGGTACCTGTCGTTGAGGATCTGGTTTCTGGCGGTGAGGACAAGGTTGTTACATGTGAGAACAAGGTTGTTACAGGTAAGGACAAGGCTGTTGGCGGTGAGGACAAGGTTCCTGGCGGTGAGAAGGTTCATGGCGGTGAGGACCAGGTTCTTTCCGGAGAGAACAAGGCTCCTGCCGGTGAGGAAAAGGTTCCTGGTGGTGAGGACAAGGTTCCTGGCGGTGAGAACCAAGTTCCTGCTGCTGAGGACTAGGTTCCTGTCAGTGAGGCCAATGTTCCTGAAGTTGAGGACAAGGTACCTGGCGGAGAGGACAGGGTTTGTGGCGGTAAGGAGAAGGTCCTTACCGGTGACGACGAGGTTACTGTGGGTGGGAACAAAGTTCCTGGCGGTGAGGAACAGGTTCGTTCCGGTGAGGACAAGGTTACTGGCGGAGAGAACAAGGTACCTGGGGGTGAGGAAAAAGTTCCTGTCGGTGAGGACAAGGTTCCTAGCAGTGAGGACAAGGTTCCTGGCGTTGGGAACAAGGATAATGCCGGAGAGGACAAGGTTCCTGGCGGTGAGGACAAGGTTCTTGGCGGTGAGGAGAATGTTCATGGCGGTGAGGACCAGGTTCTTTCCGGTGAGGACAAGGTTCCTGCCGGTGAGGAAAAGGTTCCTGGCGGTGAGGACAAGGTTCCTGGCGGTGAGGAAAAGGTACCTGTCGGTGAGGATCTGGTTTCTGGCGGTGAGGACAAGGTTGTTACCGGTGAGGACAAGGCTGCTGGCGGTGAGGACAAGGTTCTTGGCCGTGAGGAGAAGGTTCATGGCGGTGAGGACCACGTTCTTTCCGGTGAAGACAAGGTTCCTGCCTGTGAGGAAAAGGTTCCTGGCGGTGAGGACAAGGTTCCTGGCGGTGAGGAAAAGGAACCTGTCCGTGAGGATCTGCTTTCTGGCGGTGAGGACAAGGTTGTTACCGGTGAGGACAAGGCTGCTGGCGGTGAGGACAAGGTTCCTGGCGGTGAGGACCAGGTTCGGTCCGATGAAGACAAGTTTCCTCTCGGTGAGGACAAGGGTCCTCGCGGTGAGGACAAGGTTCCTCGCGTTGACAACAAGGTTTCTGCTGTTGAGGACAAGAATGCCGGTGAGGACAAGGTTTCTGCCGGTGAGGACAAGGTTCTTATCGGTGAGGACAAGGTTCCTGGCGGTGAGGACAGTGTTACTGGCTATGAGAACAAGGTCCCTCGCGGTGAGGGCAAGGTTCCTACCGTTGAGAACAAGTTTGCTGGCGGTGACGACAAGGTTTATGGTGGAGAGGACAATGTTCCTGCAGGTAAGAACAAGGTTACTAGAGGTGAGGACATGGTTCCTGGCCGTGAGAACAAGGTTCTTGACGGTGAGGATCAGGTTCGTTACGGTGAGGACAAGGTTCCTGCCGATGAATACAAGGTTCTTGGCGGTGAGGACAGGGTTCCTGGCGCTGAGGACAAGATACCTGGCGGTGAGGACAGTGTTTCTGGAGGTGAGGACAAGGTTCTTACCGGTGAGGACAAGGTTCCTGGGGGTGAGAACATGGTTACTGCCGGTGACAACAGGGTTCCTTCCGGAGAGGACAACGTTCATACCGGTGAGGACAAGGTTCCTGGCGATACCGTGCTTCAATTGCAACACAGTCTTTCCCTGCAAACTCACGAAGCAAATCAGTGTCATTATGTAGTTTGGCTGCTTCTTGTAAGGCTCCTGCCGTAATTGTTTGTGCCAATGATAGGAACTGTTTTTTATACTTTCGCTAGTGCTACAAAAATGGAAACTATAATTAGAGCCTGAATCAAACGAGAACGCAAGTTGGCAATCGCGCTATCTCATAGTTTTTACGTGTTTAAAACACTTACGAAGCAGTTATTTTGTTAATGCTAAAACGACTGTTACGATAGTAAATCTTGACTGCCAACTGGCGATCCTCCGCTCTCACTTGATTCGGCCTTTATAATAAGAACAACCTCAGATCACCTCTATTATATTTAAATTAAAGTAATAAATAAAAAAAATTTATGTTTCACTATACTCACCGGTTCAAATACACTAATAGGTTTTGCTTTCTTACAAACCAAGCACCTTTTCGGTAGAATATTTCTACGAACAGAAATAGAAGTGGTAGGGGAACAGCTTTGTTTTTGAATTCGGGACGACTGCCTTGTTGGTGTCCTTTTCTGTGGAACAGGATCATTGTCTTGTTTCTCACATTCGTCTTTCTTTCTCTTTAAATTCGCGAGCGTTGATTCCGCTCTCTCAAGCTTGGTTTTGTCGGTAAAATTTCGATAGCAAGAAACATGATAACCAAGTTTTCGTCATGTTCACATACCTCATCTTTGTTGGGAGGGATATGAGCGTACGTTTTCTCCGCAACATCGCTGAATTCATTCGATTATTTTCTTTAATGTTTCAGTGGTTTAAAGATTTTATTTGCCCGCCTTTTCCCGTGAAATGGATAATGCATGAACTTTCGTCCATTTTGTTTTGATATTCCCGCGTTTTTGCGCCATGCTTTATTATTTAACATGCAGCGAGACCTCCTTTGGTGAACATTCGGTAAACGGACGGCGGCCTTGACGTCACAATTCCTCGATTCGACTGATGTTATTTTATGATGTATGTTACGCAATATTCAAAATGGCGGCTGTTGACGTTGAAAATGAGTGCTAATATAAGAGGCAATTGTGACAAAATGAAAGAGATTAGGAGCGGGAACTCTTCGGATTCGTACTCAGTGTAGTTGAAAGTGGTAAGTTATTATAAAACAAGACGCCTACTCAGGCGTTCACTCCGCCTGCTGGCCTACGGAGAAAATGGGGACAATGTAGGGTGCGACGGAAAAGTGAAGCCAAATATAAGCATTCAAAGACAAGTTGGTGTTCATAGCATTCAAAGATAAGATGGCATTCAAGGTTAAGTTGGCATTCATGGCATTCAAAGTTAACTTGGCATTCAAAGGAGCAATGGCATTTACTTTTCTTTGAATTTTCATAAGAAAGTGCCATGACCTATAAGAGATAGAAATAGGATATTAATTCTGACACACCAATTCTGTTTGGCCCATCATTGTAATAATAGAGGCCCAAAAAGCATGTTTGAGTGGCTTGGTAGGTATTCTGCCCAGAGTCCTAGTAGGGTTGAATTAAATACATTACACAACACATAATCTATTAATGCATGAGTCTATTCCAGGAGTAACCATCCCCCCCCCGGAGAACACACCCGGGCCTTTGATTTGATTGGTCATGATAGTGTAAATGCCCGGGTGCCGGGACACAATTTGAAGACTAATGCACGGCCCCTGGGCAAGCTGAGAGTGGAAAATGCCCCACCCCGGCGACGATTTTACAGTCGATTTCACGAAACTTTGACCACAAATGTTCCGAACTTCGTTGCGAAGTTCGTTGGAATTCACAAGCCAATTTGGAATTCACAAGCCAATTTGTAAACAAAGTCCCTGATTGGTCCGTGAAGTAAAAGAAGCCAATCAAATGCGTAGTTTACGAACTGGTTTGTGAATCTCATTATGAACTTTTGAACTTCGCAACAATCTTGTGAACTTCGCAACGAAGTTCGGAAAATTTGTGGTCAAAGTTTCGTGAAATCGACTGTAAACGTTAAACTTTTACACCCGTTTTCAAAATTACGCGACCAAGGACGAAAATGCTCGAGTTGACATGTCAGTTTTATGTCATTCGGTCAAGAAGTTTAAACTTTGAGTTTTGCGGTTCCTTGTCGATGTATATGCTTTGTATGTTTTATATAAACAGGCTTAGAATGATTTTCAAGATATTTTAGTGAAAATTATTGCAAAATTTAAGCACAAATAAAATTATAACATCACCGTTATAGTCTAGCGCGTGTGTTTTATACTTACAGCTAAATTCCAGGATAAATTGTTATCTTTTAAACTTTAAAAGTTATTCACGGCACATATTTCTGTTGTGATGGTTTGTATTGTGCTTTAGTTTGTATATCTAAGTTATCTAACTCATTTTTGTTCAGTTTTGGTATTAAATACGGTTTAAAATGTCTTTTGACAGTTTGTTTACAGTTGCTATTTTTAGCAGTTTTTGTGACATAAAACTGACATTTGAAGTAAGAGTATTTTTCAGGGAGGTCGCGTAATTTTGAAAACGGGTGTAATTAATCATAGTCATTTAATAACATTATAGTATTAAACTGCTATGGAATATTATAAAACATAAACCTTTAATAGTTGTATTTAAATTTGCATGGCACAGGGTATAATTTTCGCTTATTCTTACAATAAATTTCACGCCACCTTGACCACGAGGGCGCAAAATACGATCAGCGCGCCCATATGCATGCCTGAAACTAGGTTTTGCTGCCTTAAAATTTGTGGGTGGGATTTTGGTCAACCATTTGTCAAATCCCTGGGGTCCTCCAATACCCGGCCCCCGTGCACATACATGAAAGGCAAATTCCCGACCCCTGTGAACTGTCTATCGGGCAAATTCCCGGGGGTGTCCCGGGGGGATGGTTACTCCAGGAATTGACTCATGCATAACACACAAGGGCAGTAGAAAGAGCAAAGCAAGCAAACCCAAGCTGGCTGTGAGTTCAAGAAACTGACGTTTCTGTTATTTGTTAACATGACTATATATCATAGATTATATTCTTGTCTTGCAACCAATCCCTTGAGAATTAAAAGAATGTGCGAAATTCAGTAAAACATAATGAGATTCTTTGTCTTATAAATACTACCACATGGCTTCCGTTTCCGGTCGTTGCGTACTAGACGTGTATAGTAAATTATAAACACGACAGCTTCAATACTACATTTCCTAAACTCTTCAAGACATTGAAATATATTTAATTACCCGATAGCCTCAACACTACATAGCCTAAACTCTTCAGAACATTGTAGGGACCTTTCACACAAGAATATATTTTGCTAGTCGAGAATATAAGATCGACATTACGACATACAGCAGGAGTGAATATTTTTATTTATATTTATGACTTTAAACAATTTCTTGTTGCCAAAATGCAGCATGCACTACCAAAATTAGAATGTCTAGTATCCCTTACCTCAGTTGAGTCTGGAAGCTTTGTCTTGACATTCATCTTTTTAGTATTTTTCATCGTTTAGTATTTTTTATCGCACAAGACCGTTTCGCAGTTCGCAGTTTAGAAAAATACTGTAAGCAGAGCTGTAAGCATGCGCATTGCGCTGCCAAATCGTATAACATTATCCACAAATGTCAATAGAAAGTATCTAAATATCATGGAATGTACACATTTATCAAGGAGCCTGTTTGTGACACCACACGACAGTCGACAACCGACAGTCGACAACCGACAACAGACTCAGGCATTTTTAGACTCCGCACTGCGCATGCGCAAGCGGAGTAATTATTTAGTTCCACGAGGTGCACTATGGAATTGACGATAACGTGGGACAGCAAACGGCCTAATCGCCGTCTCAAGACAAACCGGCGCTCTTACTTGATAAGTAAAATAATTTCGAAGTCATCCTTCTTTTATAGCTTCGTGAAAATGTGCTAAGTTTTGTTTTTTATAGTTAAAACTTATTTACAGAAAGTAAGTCGATAAGGGCCTGTTCATATGATCCCGCTTACCGGGACGTCTCGCTTACCGATGATCTCGCCGCCTATCTATTTTCCTATAAAATTTTGCATTGTATTCATATGAGAAAGCGAGCTGGCCCGCTTGCCGAGATCTCGTTTGAATTTGCCGAGATCATAGGTAGGCGGGATGAAAATTTTTCCATACGAACACGCCAGCCGCTTACCGGGATGAAGTCAAACAAGTCTTGCCGGTTTAATTTAACACTTTTTACTTGGTTTTATGTTTGTTTTGTAAACAAGTATTAAATATGCACCTGAAGCAATACTTTTTCTTGTAAATAAACGAAGAAAAACACTAAAATGGCTAAGTATTTGTATTGCTTGACTGAAATGTAGAAGTTTTGCATACGCTAATTATAGAACTACAATGTAATTTCACTCGGCAAGCGGGACGAAATATTCCATATGAACGCACGGAAATATTCGTCTCGGTAAGCGAGACGTCCCGGTAAGCGGGATCATATGAACAGGCCCTAAGAAAAGAAAATATACTGAGAAATTATCTCGGTTATAGCACTATCTACTTAAAGAATGCTGTAACTGTTAAAACCATGTAAATTACTAATAATAGCTATTTTTTAAGAAATGCCATTTTCGGGTTTAATTCCCGATGAGAAAATAGCGACCGGAACTGTCCGGAAGGAACAAAACACTTGTCGATTTCAGTCACGCTATATGTCGAAAATACCCAATATTCACGGCCTCCCTACGAACTCTAAATACAATAACCCAAACTAATTTTTTTATATGTTATAGAAGAACATATAATTAGTTAATGGCGTACGTTTCGTGTAGAAAAAATCTGGGTCACTTAGTTAAAATGGTTTTTGCGTGGCAACGGTAGATTGTAATTTTCGCTATGTGTGAATACTATACGATTCTAAATATTAGGTGTCTGGTTTTAATTAATAGCTAAAATCATGATTTTATGCTCAATCAAGTCTCAAACAACTCTTCCATCGATTCACAAACGTATGGTTTTCATATATTTTCCAATTCTGCATGCGTTAGTTGTTTTTGAACCTGTTTGATTCAATTGAAAATTTGCATATTTTTGAGGCAGCCGACAGTTGAATCGTTTTTGTCGGATTTCTCAGAATT